ATTGGACTTGGCTAAAGAGTACAAAAATGAAAGGTGTTGCCATCCCTGTTGGCGAATAAGAGGTGGCATGGGTTGCAGTGTAGGTGCAGGCTATGTGAGAATCTTGGAGAAGGCATCTCTGCATGCGTGTAACACGATTAGAAGTGATGGGAGGCGCCTTAGAGGTTGGCATGGGTTGCAGTATAGGTATAGTCTAGGTGACAGTCTTGGAGAAGGCATCTCTACATGCATGTAACACGATTGGACGTGAAGGTAGGCGCTATTGGACTTGGCGAAAGAGTATAAAAATGAAAGGTGTCACCATCCCTGTTGGTGAATAAGAGGTGGCATGGGTTGCAGTGTAGGTGCAGGCTAGGTGACAGCCTTGGAGAAGGCATCTCTGCATGCATGTAACACGATTGGACATGATGGGAGGCGCCTTAGAGGTTGGCATGGGTTACAGTGTAGGTGCAAGCTAGATGACAGCCTTGGAGAAGGCATCTCTGCATGCATGTAACACGATTATACGTGAAGGTAGGCGCCATTGGACTTGGGGAAAGAGTACAAAAATGAAAGGTGTCGCCATCCCTGTTGGCGAATAAGAGGTGGCCTGGGTTGCAGTGTAGGTGCAGCCTAGGTGACAGCCTTGGAGAAGGCATCTCTGCATGCATGTAACACGATTGGACGTGATAGGAGGCGCCTTAGAGGTTGGCATGGGTTTCAGTGTAGGTGTAGGCTAGATGACAGCCTTGGAGAAGGCATCTCTGCATGCATGTAACACGATTAGACGTGAAGGTAGGCGCCATTGGACTTGGCGAAAGAGTACAAAAATGAAATGTGTCGCCATCCCTGTTGGCGAATAAGAGGTGGCATGGGTTGTAGTGTAGGTGCAGGCTAGGTGACAGCCTTGGAGAAGGCATCTCTGCATGCATGTAACACGATTGGACGTGATGGGAGGCGCCTTAGAGGTTGGCATGGGTTGCAGTGTAGGTGCAGGATAGGTGACAGCCTTAGAGAGTGCTTATTGTTGGTTTATTCAAATTCAGTACAACCTATTTAATCTTACATTTATCAAAATACTCCCACACTTAATCACTCAAACACTAGAATATTCAAAAATTCAAGCAATTAACTCTTATACTTCCAACCTTTAAACCTTCAAACAGTCATACACAATGGCCTCTGCACCCCAATATGTGATCAGTGCATATTTCAACGGTGAGACATACATTTGTCCCACCTTTGGGTTTTTGTTTAGAGACACTGAGAACATCTGATTTTGTTTAAACATGAAAGCCAATTTCTTGTATTTCAAAAAATGATTGGAGGCCAAACTTGGACGAGGTCCCGTGACACAAATATTTTATCAGAATCTGGTTCTTTTGGTAACAACCAAATAATATTTTATAAGGTTGAGGTTCAAGATGACGAGGACCTTCAGAATATATTTTCCAGTCATGAGTATTCTGGGTACGACTCTATTGAGTTGTACATTATGCTGCGAGAGCCTCAACTGTCACAAGTGGTTGATCCTCTGGAGATCGAACAAGTAGGAGTAGATGTCGTTGATGAAGAAGAAGAAGATGACGAGTTAGAGTTTGATGACATGGTCAATGATGATTCCGAAGATGATGGGATACCTGGTATTCCTTCAAACAAGATCTACACACCACCTCTGCACATGACAAACTTCAACATGGGCGAAGATGAACCGTCTTCTGATTTATTTTTCAATCCGTATATGCAGTTGGATGAAAACTTAAAAGAGAAAGACAAATTTCGTAACAGAGAAGAATGTATCTGAGCTATCAAAAAATTTCACATTCTAAACTCGGTCGGTTTTAAGGTGGACCGTGTAAATCCAGAAAGGTACAAGATCAAGTGTGTCTACCCAGATTGTATGTTCAAGCTCACTGCACCATACAGATTAAGAGGTGATTGTTGGGTCATAGGTTCTATGTCTACCCACACGTGTGTCAGTTCTACTCAATCACAAGATCATCGGAAACTAAATTATGATCTCATATGTCAAGAAATCCTACCACTCGTCAGCAACAATCCATCATTAAAGGTGAAAACCATAATCTCCCACATCTCTACCGTATTTAACTATACTTCGTCTTACCGAAAGGCGTGGTTAGCAAAGACCAGGGCGATTGAAAAGGTATATGGAAACTGGGAGGAGTCATACCAAGAACTTCCTCGCTACCTTAATTCACTTTAGACTTATTCTCCGACTATTGTTTACATTTTGGAAAGACTGCCAGCGTACGCCCCAGATGGTAGTCAACTCAACAGAAATGGAATATTCAGTCGAGTGTTTTGGGCTTTTCAACCTTGCATCACAGGGTTTGCGTCATGCAAACCAATTATACAAATTGATGGGACTTGGTTGTATGGGAAATACAAAGGTACGCTACTGATGGCAGTTGCACAAGATGGCAACAACAACATTTTCCCAATTGCCTTTGCCCTAGTCGAGGGAGAGACTGGTGGTACTTGGAGCTTTTTTCTCAAGAATCTTCGAACACACGTGGCTCCTCAACCAGATCTCTGTTTGATCTCTGATAGACATGAATCCATTGAAAGTGCATACAACAATCCTGCAAACAGTTGGCATGACCCTCCTTCTACGCATGTCTACTGCATTAGACATATCGTCCAAAATTTCACGAGGGAGATCAAAGAAAAAGCTCTTAGGAAAGAGGTTATGAATGCGGGATATGCATTGACACAACCTACATTCAAATATTATCGCAATGAGATCTGTTTGTCAAATTTGGACGCCGGTAGGTGGATCGATAATATTTCGGTATAAAAATGGACTAGATCATACGACAATGGACAAAGATAGGGCCACATGATAACAAATCTAATTGAATCCATGAACGGGGTATTCAAAGGCATATGAAACCTCCCAGTAACTGCTTTGGTTAAATCAACATATTTTAGAATGGCTTCGTTGTTTGCCAAAAGAGGTAAAATGTGGAATATTGTGTTATAATCTGGACAACTATGGAGTGAAAGCTGCATAAAGTACATTAAGGCAGAAAGTGTCAAAGCCAACACCCATCTGGTTATACGGTTTGATCGACACAGCCACAACTTTATTGTCAAAGAGACAATCGACCACAACGAGGGCCTGCCAAGACAAAAGTATAGGGTTATACTACCTTCTCGTTGGTACGATTGTGGCAAGTTTCAAGCCTTTCGTATGCCTTGCTCTCATGTCATTGTTGTGTGTGCCTATATTCATCAAGACGCGCTACAACTTCTGTCTCCCATTTACAAATTTGAAACATTGCTCAACGTATACAACAACAACTTCCCTTTGGTAGCAAAACTTGATTATTGGCCTGCATACGACAGTGAAATAGTATGGCACAATGATCAAATGTGAAGGAATAAAAAGGGTCGTCCCAAAAGTAAGCGCATCACAACTGAAATGGACTCCCTTGACAAGCTGGACAGAAAGTGTGGTTTATGTCATCAGGTCAGACACAATCGCAAAAATTGTCCGAATCGAGCTACTGGCTCAACCACATAAAAATTGTATTACAAAACATCTTTCTTTTATTAAGTTGTAAACATTAGGGTTTTTCATTAACAATATTTGTTACAATAAACCTTGCGCAAACAAGAAATAAAACACGATAAACCGTCTACGAAATTACAACCGTTAAAACAATTTCATCTGACCCATGCATCATCAACATTACGTCGCTGTCTGTTTTGACTTCCTCCAACCAAAAATTAGGTCTTCCTGTCGCAAGTGAGGTTGTTGTTCGTCTTTGCTGGATCCTTCTAATTTGTTCCCCCTCCTCGATGTCTCCCTCTAGCCATCACATCAAATCCCTCTTCAGACGCTCCATGGAGTGAATGTGCCAGAATATCATTTTCATCGGAAGCTTTGTGTCAGAGAAAATAACGTAACCATCTCTGGTAAAAATCATTGGCGATATCATGACGTAAATAACAGAGAAAAAAAATAAGAGAACAGTGCGAGAAAGTGTGAGGAATGACAGAGAAACAGACGAATTATTTATAAAAATTGCATTTTACCCTATGAGCCAAGTGAGATGGCACCTCCTCTCACTTTTAAAGTGCACGCGCCATCTCACTTGACTAAAAGAGAGATGAGGCGTCAAGTGGATGGCGCCTAGCGCAAAATGGGGAGTGGATGCGTCAACTGAGTTGGCTCCTCCCTTGTGGGATTTTCTGAAACATGGTTATTTACGTAATTTTCTCAGAAACATAGTTATTTGCGAATTTTTTTTTAATACCTGGTTATTCTAAAAAAAAATTCAAAAAACTATTTATGCCCTTAATTTTAATATATTTTTAATTAAAATATAAATAAATATTTATTCGGTTCTTACTACCAACCTAGAGACAAACATCCAACATTGTTTTCCAAAATTATAATATTAAATCTCATTCACTTTTCCTTTTTGCTTGAATTTTTTAAGCACTAGAACACCCCAACAAAAGTCCACAAACAGTTTGAATAATCCTCTCTATTCGACATTTTCATCTTCTTCACTAAACCAAACAAAATCAACGAAATAAATAAGGAAACTCGTATGAAGTTTGAATAAGAAAATTCTAAACTCATAACCATTCATTTCTTTTACTGTCTCATTACGTTTCCGGCACATAAATATTATATATCTCCATGACTGTCCTAGTAATATTGTTATTGTTGTTGTTGTAAATACCTTTAAGCTTTAATGTCTTTGTTGTTAATATATATATATATATATATATATATATATATATATATATATATATATATATATATATATATATATATATATATATATATATATATATATATATATATATATATATATTTAAAAAGTATTACTGGAATTAATGTAAGCAAAAAGAGGAACATGTAGATATATCAGCAGAGATACAAACCATGTATAATAAAGAAAACACAACATTTTCCTAGTTCCCATTATTGTGTAAATAGATTCACATAGGTTGAACATAACATAAATTTAGTGTCTATTTGGTCAGCACTTGAAGTAACAGAAGCAAGACCCTCCAAAGTTATCACGGAGACAAGCCCCGCTAACTGCATGTTCGATGTTGATGCACTCTTTCTTACAGTTTCCCGATACCAAACAAACCCCTGACCATAATTTGCTGCGCCTTTTACAAAGTTTTGCTTGCACCTCTGCAAACACAGTTATCAAAAACATAGTGAGTGTGTTCACTTTGTCCTTTATGATATCACTGTAATCATTTGATAATCAATGGCTCGTTTGATGAAATTCTAGTTTTTCTAATGAGCTATTACCTAAATAACGATACTAAGAGTCCATTCAAAAAATAAAACGAACGTAATGCAATAAATTTATATATAGTTGTACGTACCCGGTGTGGAGAAAAGGAGCAGGGTAAGGCCGATGAACATAACGACGGTGTAGAATTTAGGAGAAGAGGAAGCCATTGCTAAATATAAATGGAAATGATATTTGGTTGTTAATGAGAATTGCTTCAACAAGTGTGTGTTTGTGGGTGTATATATTAACTATATCCAACAAGACAATGTGATTCTTTTGTTTCCGATAATTTCAACAGCTAGGGGAAATTATTGAGTTGTATTTTTAACTAACATGATCTTGTTTCTTGTGGAATGATTGATACAATCAAGAGTTACTCCAAGCTTTGCATGTTTGACCTTTTACTTTTTGTTCTTGCCTAGCTCTTGCAGTCTTGCTTGATTCCCCTCTTGAAGTAATACCGTGCATTAAACTATCATGCGACACTTCAATTTCTTTTGGTCAAATCATTTATTTATTTATTTATTTATGTGACATCTTTAAAAATTTATATTAATTTTCAAAAATTTAAGATATATTATTATTCTATATAAAATATTATGGGTTCGAATCTTGTAAAATACAAAAATACAAAATTTAATATTTAATTTTTAACTTTGTTTAATTTAAAAAAAATTAATAATTTACTCACAATAAATTTAGTATTATTATTTTTTAATAAAATACAATAAGACAAAAATATAGTTAAACATTTATTAAATCTCAACGAAACGTTATTCAACATACAATAATTTACTCTTATATATTATTTTCATAAATTTTATAAAATACAATTCATATTTATCTTACAATAATTTCCTAATTATAAAAAAAAACAAATATATTTTGATTATTTTTTACTTAGTGTCTCTAAAATAATTTTAGAATCTATCAATTTTTAAAAAATAAATGATATACTACTTCATTATCAAATAATCTACAATAAAGGAATTTTTTTAATTAATAACCATGTATTAAAATAATATTTCGCAAATAACCGAGTTTCGGAAAAAATTACGCAAATAACCATGTTTCAGATGAACCAAAGGAGGAGTCATCTCACTTGGCGCCTCCACCTAGGGTTTTGTCCTAGGCGCCATCTCACTTGGCGCCTCCCTTGACTTTTAGCCAAGTGAGATGGCGCATGCTCCTTAAAAGTGAGAGGAGGCGCCATCTCACTTGGCTCCTAGGGCAAAACTAGGGCAAAATGTTGTTTTATAAATAATTCGTCCGTTTCTCCGAAATTTCTCACACTTTCTCGCACTGTATTTTTATTTTGTACTCTGTTATTTGCGTCATGATGTCGCATATGATTTTTAACAGAGATGGTTACGTTATCTTCTCCGCCACGAAACCTGCGATGAAAATGAAATTTTGGCACATTCACTCCATGGAGCGTCTGAAGCGGGAGTTGATGCGGTGGCTAGATGAAGACATTGCGGAGGGGGGAAAATTCGAAGGATCCAGCGAAAACGAACAACAACCTCACATGCGACAGGAAGACCTAATGTGTGGTTGGAGGAAGTCAAAACAGACAGTGATGTAATGTTGATGATGCATGGGTCAGATGAAATTGTGTTAACAGTTGTAATTTCCTAGATGGAATATCGTTAATTATTGTTGTACGCGTTTTATTAATTGTAGCAAAATTTGTTAACGGAAAACCCAAATGTTTACAACACAATTATGAAAAAAATTTATGTATTACAATATTTATGTGGTCGAGCCAGACGCCCGATTCGGACAGTTTTTGCGATTGTGTCCGACCTGACGGCATAAACCACACTTTCTTTCCAACCTGTCAAGATCGTCCATTTCTGTTGTGATGCGCTTACTTTTGGGACGACCCTTCTTGTTCCTTCGCATTTGGTCGTTGTGCCACACTATTTCGCCGTCGTATTCAGGCCAATAATCTGGTTTTGCTACCAAAGGAAAGTTGTTGTTGTAAACATTGAGCAACATTTCAGATTTGTAAACGTTTGACAGAAGTTGAAGCGCGTCTTGATGGGTATGAGCACAAGCGGCAATGTCATGAGAGCAAGGCATACGAAATGCTTGAAACCTGCCACAATCGCACCATTGAGAAGGTAAAATGACCCTGTATTCTTGTCTTGGCAGGCCTTCATTGTGGTCGATTGTCTCTTTCACAATGAAGTTGTGGCTGTGTCGGTCAAACCATATAACCATGTGAGTGTTGGCTTTAGCACTTTCAGCCTTAATGTATTTCATGCAGCTTTCAATTCATAGTTGTCCAGATTGCAACACCGCATTCCACATTTCATCTCTTTTTGCAAATAACGCAGCCATCCTAAAATACGTAGATTTTACCAAGGCAGTGATTGGGAGGTTTCGTATGCCCTTGAATACCCCATTCATTGATTCAATAAGATTCGTTGTCATATGCCCCCATCTTTGGCCATTGTCGTATGACCTAGTCCATTTTCCCACCGGAATATTGTTGATCCACCTACCAGCTTCCGGATTAGACAAACGGATCTCGTTGCGGTAATATTTGAATGTGGGTTGTGTCAATGCATATCCCGCATTCATAACCGCTTTCCTCAATGTTTTGTCCTTGACCTCCCTCGAGAAATTCTGGACGATATGCCAAACGCAATAGACATGCGTAGAAGGAGGGTCATGCCAACCATTTGCTGGATTATTATAGGCACTTTCAATGGAGGCATATCTGTCCGAGATCAAACAGAGATCTGGTTGAGGAGCCACGTGTGTCCGCAGAATTTTCAGGAAAAAGCTCCAAGCACCACCGGTCTCCCCCTCGACAAGGGCAAAGGCAATGGGGAAAATGTTGTTGTTGCCATCTTGTGCAACTTCCATCAATAGCATGCCTTTGTACTTCCCATACAACCAAGTCCCATCAATTTGTATAATTGGTTTGCATGATGCAAACCCTGTGATGCATGGTTGAAATTCCCAAAACACGCGACTGAATATTCCGTTGCCATTCATTAGACTACCATCTTGGGCGTACGCTGGCAATGTTTCCAGAACGTAAACACTACCTGGAGAATACGTCTTGAGTGCATTCAGGTAGCGGGGAAGTTCTCGGTATGACTCCTCCCAGTTTCCGTACACCCTTTCAATCGCCTTAGTCTTTGCTAACCACGCCTTACGGTAAGACGGAGTGTAGTTAAAAACCGTGGTGATGTGGGAGATGATTGTTTTCACCTTCAAAGATGGGTCGTTGCTGACCAGGGGTAGGATTTCTTGACAGATTAGATCATAGTTAAGTTTTCGGTGGTCCTGTGATTGAGTGGAACTTACACAAGTGTGGGTAGTCATGGAACCTATGACCCAGCAGTCACCCCTTAATCTGTATGAAGCGGTCAGCTTGAACATACAGTCAGGGTGGACACACTTGATCTTGTACCTTTTCGGGTTGACACGATCCACCTTAAAATCAACCGAGTTGAGCATGTGAAATTTTTTAATGGCCCTGATGCATTCCTCTCTGTTATGAAACTTGTCCTTCTCTTTTAAATTTTCATCCGACTGCATATACGGATTGAAAAATAAGTCAGTAGAAGGTTCATCTCCGCCCATGTTGAAGTTTGTCATGTGCGGAGGTGGTGTGTAGATTTTGTTTGCAGGAATACTTGGGATGCCATCATCGTCGAAATCATCATTCACCATTTCATCAAACTCTAACTCGTTATCTTCTTCTTCATCATCAACTGCATCTACCTCAGCTTGTTCATTCTCCAAAGGATCAACCTCCTGTGTCACCTGAGGCTGAGGCTGAGGCTCTCGCAGCAAAACGTACAACTCAATAGAGTCGTATCCGAAATAGACATGGCTGGAAATCATATTCTGGAGATCCTCGTCATCTTGAACTTCAACCTTATAAAAAATTACTTGGTTGTTTCCAAAGAAAACTGGATTCTGATAAAATATCTGGGACACCGGGCCTCGTTCAAGTTTGGCCTCCAATCTTTTTTTCAAGTACGAGAAATTGGCTTTCCCGTTTAAGAGAAATCAGATGTTGTTTGTGTCTCTAAACAAAAACCCAGCGGTGGGACAAATGTATGTCTCACCGTTGAAATGTGTTTTGACGATAAATTGTGGTGAATAGGCTATTGCGTAGAATTGTTTTAAGGTTTGAAGCTTGGAATGTTTGAGGTTTATTGATTGTATGAAGGTTTGAATGCTGTAATGTTTGAAGGTTGGAATGTTTGAATTTTATGAGTGATTCAAAGGTTAGAATGTTTGATTGTTTGCAGGTTTGAAAGTTTGGTTGTAAGACTAAAGGCTGTTTGAGATTATGTGAATCAATGTTATGATAAAAATTTCAATTAAGTAAGGATGCAACCCCCCAAGGCTGCCAATAATGTTACATGCAAGGAATCCCAAAGGCTGTCATGTAGCCTGAGCCTAGGTTGCAACAAAGGACACCTCTTATTCGCCAATTGGGGTGGTGACACCATTCATTTTTGTACTCTTTCACCAAGTCCAATGGCGCCTCCCTTACTGTCCAATTGTGATACATGCATGGGCTGCCACCTAGCCTGCAAGAGTGACACATTTCATTTTTTGTACATGCATGCATGCATATGTGTAACCCCCTAGGCTGCCACCTAGCCTGCCCCAAGTCTCCACCTATACATGTATTTTGTAAGTCTCCTCCCATCAACTCCAATGGGCTTACATGCACTAATGCAAGGAATCCCAAAGGCTGTCACGTAGCCTGAGCCTAGGCTGCAACAAAGGACACCACTTATTCGCCAATTGGGGTGGCGACAACATTCATTTTTGTACTCTTTCGCCAAGTTCAATGGCGCCTCCCTTACTGTCCAATCGTGATACATGCATGCAGTTTTGTAACCCCCTAGCCTGCCACCTAGCCTGCCCCAAGTCTCCACCTACACATGTATTTTGTAAGTCTCCTCCCATCAACTCCAATGGGCTTACATGCACTAATGCAAGGAATCCCAAAGGCTGTCACGTAGCCAGAGCCTAGGCTGCAACAAAGGACACCACTTATTCGCCAATTGGGGTGGCGACAACATTCATTTTTGTACTCTTTCGCCAAGTCCAATGGCGCCTCCCTTACTGTCCAATCGTGATACATGCATGCAGTTTTGTAACCCCCTAGGCTGCCACCTAGCCC